GTGGATAAAATCAATGTTGAAAAATAGACAAAAAACTGGGGAAGGATCGAAAGTGCAGTAATATTGCAAATATGAAGTACTATTACCGCTCCATATGAAAACTCAAGAAGGACTTTGAGTCCTAACCCAAAGATAAGGGACTATTTTGCACTATTTCTCGATTTTGTACTATATAAGATATGAAGTAAAGCATAGTCTTCTTTCTCCTCATCTTATGTTATTTTCTCCATTTCAATTTTATAAGACACTATTTGACTTGACACAAAGTTTATGAAAGAAATAATTTAAAAAAAATTGTGGTCTAAATATTCCTTGACTATTTGTATGAATATAAATAATTTTGTTAACAGTAAAAGGAGTATTTTAAAGTTAGATTATTTTCTATTATGTGACATTCTATTTGCAACGTATAAAAAGAATATTGTTCCACATTAATTGAGTCTAAAAAAATATTTCTGAAAAAATGTGATGAGGACCGTCCTACTTCTTCACTCTTTTACATAACAAAAGTTTGATAATATAAATAACTCTTCTACATAATAAAAGCTTGATAATACAAAGAGTTTTGAAATAGGTTATGAAAAAATACCAATGTTATTATTATTTGATTCAATGTATGTGTTATACATAATATTAAAATGAGTATGAGAGATATATTTTTAAATTTTAGTTATGGAAACTTAAAAAACTTATAAGTTTCAATTAATTTAGTTGAAATAGAAAAAAAGAAATTATTATAAAGTGCAATTCATTCTATATCGTGTTTTAAAATATTCATGATTAACATTTTTTTAAAAATAAACAAATAATAAAATTACATAAATAAACAACTTAAGATAATCTCTATTCCCTCTCAAATACATCTCTATCCTCTTGGACATATCCCTATCCCCCTTGCATCCATTCCTTTCCTCTCTCGGATACATCCCTTCCATTAAATAATGTATCATTTGCAATATATCGAACAACCAAAAAATGTATCCGAGAGCAATAAAACTCAGGAATTTTTGTAATTGAAGAAACTTTTGGAATAAGATGTAATTAACCCCCAAATATAAATTTTTTTTGTAAGTTATACTATAATTTAATATTATAATATTGGGCCCGTAAACGGGCCTTTGATTATCTAGTTATAAACTAAAAAAAGAGTCATTACGTCAAAGTTGGTCAGACGTACAATATTTGTTTTGTTTACGAAAAAAGAGAAAGGATAAGTAAGAAATCAAAAGTTACAAGAAGATCTGCTGTACATCTCATTTCTAACAATATAATATATAATTATTTAATATAAATTTCTTTTTTGTTTTTTCGTCCGGTGTCTGGAGTCCACATTGGAGCTCTAACTAAATTCGGATTGCGCTCTGCAGGCCCATTCGGGGGTGACGCTCTCAATAAGATTTTCTCCATATCCAAGACTCAAATCCGAGACCTCTAATAAAGTGTGAAACACTCCCACCAGATACACCACAAAACCCATGTTGGTATAATATAATATACATAATTTAACTAAAAACAACCGTCTATTATCAATTTTCATCATCAATATTTGAAATTTACATTCACTATATGATCTTTTTCCATTGTTTGGTTCATCTCTAATTGAACATCCATGATTTAAGAATCCTGGGATTCTCTACTGAGCAAGCTCTTAGATAACATTTTGAATCCACTATTTTATTTTAGATCATAAAACTCATGAAAAATTTCGTAAAGTATTGTATCTAAAAAGATAAGTTTGAAATTACAACGAAAGTTTGTGTAAACATTGAATCTATCAAGTTAAAATTTTGATTCTATAGTATCTCTGATCTATAAAAGGTATAATCTTTTTAGTTCTCTATATGTTCAATTCATCGATTGGCTAGCTTTATATTCATCGTAAGGGAATTAAATAGAGTTTTGGACACTGCATATGAATACCTAAATTGATGAAGCAACAAATTCAACGAATGGAGGGGACAGACACCATGAACCTATGTATATGTGTGATAAAATTTGTGCAAGTTTCAAAAATTTGAGAAGACAGTGATTATAGAAATTAAATTAGAAGAAACGTAACGTATGCAATTTGTTAATTAGGCACCAATTGCTTTCACGGGCGAGCACAATAATTTGCTCAACTTAACATAAAATGTTAGTTGTTAGATTCATATTTATTATTTTAGTTCTATGATTTCAATTTAAAAGATTTTTGGTATTTAAATTGTGAGTTTTTCTTTACCATAGAAAGTTGGCAATAAATACTTCTAAAAGTGATCACATATGGCTAGGCAAAATTTATTTTAATTTTATATATTCACTTATTTATCATTTATTTTAGGGAAAATTTCATGGTTAATCAAACATCTACAATTAATTAGTCATCATAGCTATAGTTTTAATTAAACCACTCGTAATTAACATTTAATGATAATTACGTGGGCTGAGGTTTTCAGTTTGTATAATTCAAAATTTGGAGTCCGGAGCCAAAAGGGCAAAAAAAATTGCCAAAAATTTCAAAAGGGCACATCAATTTTTTTTTAACCAAAAGGGCAAAATCGTTCCTGATGAAGCGATTTTCTTCTGACAAATATTGACGCCGTTACTCCATTAAAAAATAAAAATCGCTGTCATAGCAGCAATTTTGTCCATTTTTTTTTTCTTTTTTTTCATTAACATCGCTGCCATAGCAGCGTTTTTCTCGAATTTTTTTTATATAAAAAAAAGCTAAAATCACTGCTATGACAGCGTTTTTATAAAATAAAAAAAAATTATAATTAAAATTAGCGGTGATTTTCTTTAAGAAATTTTAAAAAAATAAAATTAAAAATCGTTACCCAGCAGCAATTTACTTTAAAAAATCTTTTTTTTTCTTTGAAAAAAACCTTTAAAAAATGGAGATGGAAAAACATATTCCAAAGGTTTTTTTCTTTAAAAAAAAGGTGTCTTAAAGAAAGCAGCGTTTTTATTTTTAAAAAATATTCTTTAAGAAAAGGAGATGCAAAACAATGTTCCAAAGGTTTTGAAAGAAAATCGCTGCAGGAGCAGCGATATTAGATAATTTTTTTTTGGATAATATCGTTGCTATGGCAGTGATTTTTATTTTTTAACGGAGTAACGGCGTTAATGTTTGTCAAAAGGAAATCGCTTCATCAGGAGCGATTTTGCCCTTTTGGTTTTTTTTTTATATGCCCTTTTGGAATTTTTGGCATTTTTTTTGCCTTTTTGGCTTCGGACTCATATAATTTGTATAACTTTTGTATAATGTAATTTTGTATAATATAATTTGTATAATTGTTTAACGTTCAGATGTTAGTGTTTGTATAAATTCGTTATTTCAAGTTTATACAAAAACAACTCAATTATACAAACGTACCCGTGAATTATACAAATTCACTTACGATTTATACAAACCCGCAAATTATACAAATGAGACAGCTTAAACTGTAGCTACAATCTGTAAATATGTAAACTATAACTATGGAGCATAATTAAGTTTATTATAGTGCTATTTGCAAAAATTCCCCATTATTTTATACATATATACAATGACACTCAACCTAAAAACAGCATATTGGAAGTTTTGTTATACTTTCCGGAAACAATAAATATGCGTATCAATATTTTGAAGTCGTGAGCGTCAATGTTTTTTGTCTTGTTAATAAAATAATATAATAGTATAAAAAAATGTAAAATATTCTAAAGAAATATTTTAACACATATATCAAGTATGCTAATACAAATATAACCAAGAAAAATTATTATAATTATGAGATATAAATGCCAATTGTTGAATGCCAACCTTTGATAGATAAAGATGTTAGGCTGAAATCTGAATCAGTTTCTAGATTGCAAAGTTTTCCTATTATATGTAGGTGGGTTGCAGTTGATTAATATATAATGTGTCACTCATAAATTACATTAATCCAACTTTACTGATCAAGTGAGAACACAATTCTTACTTAGTAGAATTAATATCGAAGAAGAAATTCATCATTTAGAGCTTCCATAGGACTTGGTTAAACAAAGCGAATCAAAAAACAACTATTGCTACAATAACTAATCACCAAAATAAGTGTTTAGTGAAGATAATTCTTTAAAGGTTATTACTCATTAGGGCTCATCGATCAATTAAGAATTAGTATTCAAATGACCATAAAAAATATTGAGCATGTAATAATTAAATAAAAAACATGCGCTTTCTATTATTTTAAACTTTTAAATGAGAATCACGTACTTCAACATGCTATCAGACTATACAGAGGTCATATGCTCTCTCTAACAAAAAAGAAGTTAAGAAATAATTAAAATGTGAAATTTGACTATCTATTTTTTATTTATTTAAAAAAGACAGCCTAACCATATGTACTAGTTTCATATAACATGTGATATCCTTCCTTCTTCAAAAATACAATTTTCAATTAGTAAAACTTTGGGAGATAATATGTTTGTGAATATCTCATTAACAAAAATACTTTTAGTGTAATATTAATAAGATGTGATGTTATCTTCATGTTTTAGAGTAACATTTAAACAAAATATATTACAATTATCCAAGTAAGTTTACTATGATTCATATACCTCAATCCGCAAGACTAAATGGTTCCTCTCTCTTAAACCTCATTTTTTGAGTCTATGCCAACATGTCATAATAGATAAAAACTAGCATCTCTTTCAACACGCCTCTTTATAATCAAACAAGCTCTATACAACTATTTTTTTTACTTGAAATTATTATGTTACACTTGATATTATTATGTTACAAATCTTGATTTTTATACATACGAATAATTATAGAGATATGTAAAAAACACATCTAAACTATCCCCTTTTCTTGAGTTTCATACCTAAACTATTGAGAGCGTGAATTTCATACTTTTTTACATTCTTTTAATTTTTACAATTTTATACAAGTGTTTTTTTTTTTAAAAAAAAAACTTTTTAGTGCATTATGAAAACGTTAAGGGACTTGGATATAATTTCCCAAAAATATAAAGGCGTAATCGCAATTTCCAAAAAATCCTTTTGTCTCAAAATTCTGCAACTGTATCAGCATCTTCAATCAGCCTTAAACCCTCCAAGAACCCCAAAAGACGATGACTTTTGCCAGTGGCAGTTTCACTCCAATCTTGACCAACAGTTTGATTGCTTCTCGATTATGGACCCCAAATTGGAGAAATGGGTTTTTCTCCCCTTTCAATATGGTGCACACATTTGCCTCAACTCGTAGCCGTCTGCTCAAGAACAAGAATCACTACAAAAGATTGGCACTTTCTTCCTGCAGTAGAAGCTTCAGCTGTCAGTCCACTGCTTTGTCTGATATCAGTTCAACTTCTCACACTGTTTCCTCAAATGGGTAATTCTTGTTTTTTCATTTGTTAGACTACTGGAAAAGTTGAATGTCGTGTTCTGTAATTTTTAAGTTATCACAAGACTACCCTTCCCAATTTTTTTTGGGGGTTCATGGTTGTTGAAGACATAATTAAGTAAATGAAAATGGTAAATTTCTAATAGCATAAGCTTAAAACTGTTCGAAACTGTTTTTTTCTCTTTTCAAATCATTTGTAACCATCTAAATAGGTTAAAAGTAAAAATTAGGTGGGATGACTAGTTTTTGAGCGGGCAATTAAAATATACTCACTGGGGTAAAATTTGAAAAAGAAAACCTAGCCAAAACACTTATAACAATTCCAGCACACGGTGCTCGAATTCGAAGTTTTTACAAGTGAAATGCTAGCACATTGTGCTGGAATTCAAAGCTTTGACAAGTGAAACTCCAGCATCTTGTGCGAGTTTGAAAATTTGTTGGAGTTACAAATTCCATGAATGATTCATGGAGTTCAAACATTTATCTATTATTCTTGAACTTGAAACTTTCACAATTTAAGTGTGAATATTTGTTGCAGTTTAAAACTCCATGAACAATTTATGGAGTTCAAACTTTCACAATCTAACTATGAAAGTTTGCTGCGATTGTCAATGATTCATGGAGCCAAACCTTTATCAGTTCAAACTTGAGGAATGATTCATGGAGTTCAAACTGATAAATTCATGGAGTCGAAGCTTTATCAGTTCAAATTCAAGGAACGATTCATGATCGAACTGATAAATGTTCAAACACTAGTAAAAGTTTCCTGGAGTTTTTCCATGTTTTAATTGGGGTTATATTTGTCAAAATTTATTTCCGCATTAGAGATGGCTGAACAAAACGCTCGCTAAAACTTAATCAACAGTCCGAAAAAGGGCTGTTTGCCAGTTTCATCGGTATAAATAGTTAAAAAAAGGCCACAAGTTGGCCTGAACACCAAGTTATTGAAAAAATGTAATTGCATCTGAGCTGCACTGATGTTATATGTCCACAAAACATTTCTACATCTGAATTTATTTGTAGAAAACAAATAGTGTATCTGGGTACTTTTGCATTTTTTAAAACTATGTGTTGATTTCATTTGGTAGAGGCAATTAATGGAGTGGACAGCATTAGTGCTGCTCATGAATATGTGCCATGAATTCGGCATATCTGATCATTAGGTTCAAAATGGTTTCTTTACTTGTTGGCTGTATAGATTAAAAAGTCTAAACAAGAGCAGGAAGCTTACTTTGATAGTGTATTGCAACTTAAGTTTAGATTTGTAATGTTACAATTTTCTTTGATCGGGTAGAGACATGTCTCCAATGTCATCAACCTCCACCAGGCTAGTATCCAATTTGATTGTTATGATTTGTTACACTGATCTATTTGTTTTTATTTCACTTTTTCAGCCACCTTAGATATGGACGCTTGATGCCATGCCCTTTGCAGAACAGCCCACCTAGGGTTGAGCATCTTGTCGTCACAAAAGAAGGACCTGTTCTAGAATATATTTGTAAAGCTTTGGATCTCCCTCCATTGTAAATTTCTATCTTTCTATAGTGTTCTGTTGTTCTTTTGTTATTTTCCTGCATATCATAATTTACACCTTGAGAGTGATCACTGATGAGTTGAGTGATAGTCATCTTGGATCAGTTAAGTGGTATTTTGACCAATGTTTTTCATCATTAAGATATGTGGAAGACCTTATACAGTTTGGAGCTGTGTATTACGCACTTGTATGTCCTAAGCCACCTCCGACTGCCAGTCCTGAGCAAATTAAAGTGTATGAAGAAGTTACAGATCCATCAATTCTGAGACAGAGAACTTCAATCAAAGGGAAAACTGTACGTGAAGCTCAGAAAACTTTCAAAATAACTCGTGCTGATGAAATTGTTGAAGCTGGAACGTATTTGCGAGTGCATGTACACCCTAAGCGCTTTCCGAGGTAATTACTGAACCCTATTCTTACTTTGGCTCATGACTTTTTGTCAGTGAGAAGGTAATGTTGTAAGATTTGATATGATTAGGTGCTATGACATTGACTGGAAATCTCGTATTATTGCTGTAACCGACGACTATGTGGTTCTGGATAAACCTGCTGGTACATCTGTAAGTACAAGGCTTAATTAAATATGGTTTTCTGTTGAGTGAAATCCTCTAGCTGATTTTTGCTGATAGTCATTTCTGTCAAGTAAATTACTTCTAACTGACATTGGTTTTCCTCTCATTATATCGTTACCTTTTAATTTTTACTATTAATTAATGTTGTTCTATGCTCTTCTTCTTCTTTTTCCGTTACCAATAAGCTAACTCTTTTTCATATTGACAACTTAAACTCAGGTAGGAGGAACTACAGATAACATTGAAGAAAGCTGTGCTACATTTGCTACTCGAGCATTAGGATTTTCAGCTCCACTGCTTACTACCCATCAGATTGACAATTGCACTGAAGGATGGTATGATTGGCTGTATTTATCCCACGTAAATTTTCTTTTTTCAAAATTCAAGCAGAGGTGAAATAGGATGTCATGGAAAGAAAGGTTCTGGCATGACTTCTAATTTGTGCAGTGTTGTGCTGGCTCGGAGCAAGGAGTACTGTTCAGTATTTCATGGAAAAATCAGGGTGAGACTCACCTCTATGTCGCATATAGTCTTACAAAAGATTTGATAGAGAGTTATAGGGAATAACAACTTCATGTTCCCTTACCATGGAGGTCCTTTGTGGAGTGTACCATTTGGTGTTCTTGATAACTTCATCTATTATCTGCCAGGAGAAGAAGGTCAAAAAGCTTTATCTTGCTCTTGCTGCTGCTCCGGTTCCTATTGGAATACTTACACACTACATGCGTCCTATTAATATGGCCCCAAGACTTGTTTCTGAAGGTAAGCAAGTAGCAATACTAATAATTTGCTCGCATGAGAGAGATAGAGATGGACAGAGAGAGAAAGAGTTTGATAATACTAAAATTGAGATTTCTAATCTGGATAAAAGGTTATAACAGATAGTTTTTTAGAATCATTGGATAAATTATGACGAAAAATAAGTATCAAGTCCAAATATGAAATAAGTAATCAGTTGTCCTTGTGTTTGTGTCTATTCTCAAGTTTCTAACACCCAAAAGAGCTGACATTGAAAGGATCATATGTTATATGTACATCTCCATGTCAAACAACCCATGATGTTGATGTTTGCCATAAGGAGTTGGATGTTCTTCCAAAAGTGCTCATATTTTCCTCTGGCATCTATGCTTTGCAGATTTTGTGAAAGGATGGTTGTTATGCCAACTTGAGGTCTTAGAATGCAAAAAGGTACCGTGGCCTAGTAGTGAAATCCAGAGGACATACAACCTTGAGGACTGTGGATGGGCTTTGAAAGACTTTGCATATGAGTGCCAAATCAACCTTCTAACTGGTCGGACTCATCAGGTATTTAAATTCCAGTTTTCTGATTCCCTCATGCATTTGTCCTTCTGTCCCCAGGATTTTTCAAGTTTGATGTTTCAAAGTTGAGTAATTGCTTGTGCAAGTTGTTTGACCTGCTTGCCAGTTGGGTTTTATTCCTACAAGTATTAGACAGGAAAGGCCTAATATCTCGAATCAGGTTACTTGCTCGGAAAAGTATTTCATAGTTGCTTTTCACAGGTCTAAAGAGAGAGAGCGTGCGCATGACTAAACTATTTAATCATGCGTAAACTGGTTTACTAATGGTAGCTTTTGTTACAAGTTCATCTCTGGTTTTTGCAATCTCAAAACAAATGAAGACGTGAAAAGGAACCAAAACAGTGATTTTCTCAAAATGGCGTTTCAGTTTGAAAATCTATGTCTTGAGAATCACTGATATTCTGATGATATATGGTCATAATTGGCAGATTCGAGCACAGTTAGCTGCATGTAGTGCGCCAGTGGTAGGTGACTCAATGTATATGCCAGCTGCAATTGCTGAAATAGTCTGTCCCGGGAGTAATCCATTTGGGAAGAACAAAAAACTATATTCAAACGAAAATGATAAATCACTTGCAATAGACGAGTGGATAGCACAACATGGGAAGGAACCTAGTGTTGCTGTAGGTCTTCAGGCATGCCAGATCTCGTGGGACGACGGCCAGCACTGTTATGGTGCCAGATTGCCCTGGTGGAGGTAGATAAAGCTTGTGCTAATGTTTAAGCCTGGCTTCATCAGATAATGTGGCAGGCCTGACAAATTCTTCGGCACAAGGTAAGAGCTTTGTTATTCAGCAATCACTATAAAACACAATTATCTTTAAGCTAAAAGTTACCTGTCTCAAAAAAAATAAAAATATTTTAAGCTGAATAGTTCTTCCGCTCATTGGTGAAGCTTTGTGTTGTATGATACCTCAGCTGGTGATAGAAAGAGGAAGCTGGTCATGATGTCAGCAATACAACATATACTTAAGTTAGAGGTGATAATAGGATCATACTGCGAAGTTTTGTTGGGATATGTAAGAGTTACATATATGTTGAGAGGAACTTTTCCGGACCATGAATTTGTGTTAATTAATATCAACCCTTGCCATCTATTATGCACCAAAGGCAAATGATAAACTTTTGAAGTTCTCCTTCCTCTTGACTGTGTTCTCCTGTTCTTTCACTCTCTTGGGGAGAAAGCTAGACGAGAAAGATGAGGGATTTGAGGGGGAAGGCAAGATCTTAGATTATGGACTGATACAATAGTAACATACTAGTAGGATTTTCCTCTTTAACTTGCTGACCTGTCAGATGTAAAAATTCATGTGTCTTGCACTAGATGTATGCATGGCTAGGCTGTCATCTCGGGGTGTTGAGCGAAAGTTATTTGGACTTGTTTTCATCTGTGAAAAAAGGAGTTGAGTTCCTACTAACCCCTCTCCTCACCCAACCAAGCACCACCACTTTTTTCTGGAGAAGAAATGTTCATCTTTCATTTGACACCTCTTAATAAGCACATTGTGCTATCTTGCATCCAGACAAGATAGCTTATTTCTGTCTATAGCTGATACTCACTTTTTATTTGTGTTTATAGCTGATACTCACTTCTTTATATATCGACAGCAACTGCCTGTGCTGGGATCATATTATGAGCTTCAAGGAAAAGGCTGACTTACTGATCTACCTTGTGTAGTTGTGGAATAGCAGGATGTTGATGAGGAATTCACCTACACATTTCGGTCATTTGAAGGTACCCCATACCTTATCCTAATCTCGTAGTTTCTGAAGCAATGGTCTGCAGATAAGGTAGTCTTCCCTTGACCAGGAGTCAAATCCCCTCTGTGTAACGAAGGATCTTATTGTAGTAGTAGAGCATGTCATAAATATTTCAGGCTCATGTTTTTTTTTTTTTTTTTTTTGCAACTTTTCATTTTGAGGAATGTAAATACAATGCGCTGTCATAAATAGCATTTTTGGCTGATGTTGTAACACCAATTTCGTGAAGACAATGGAGAAAATAGTGTCAGTGAGTTTGTTATAATAGTGTATGCTTCTTGAATATAACTTTTCCATCCTATCTGCTGATGGTTTTTTTTAATCATGAGCTTTCTTAGAGTAGATTTTGAAATTCAGCCGGAGTAAACATCCATTTTGTAGAATATTGGAACATTAATAAATCTGTTGAAGGGGGGGGGGGGGGGGGGGGGGGGGGGGGGGGGGGGGGGGGGGGGGTGGGGATAGAGAGAACTCAGCTTTCAACAGAATATTTCTGCATAATTAAAACTTCTTGCTTACGTGATTACAGTTCCATTGGAGTGAATACAGGTTAAGTTTGAGCTTAACTCTTGTAATATGAAGGCAGGGATCAGGCTGCTTACAAGCTTCTGCTTTTGCATCATCTTCTTCCACTAGTTCTGGGCAGTATGTGTTTCAAGCTGTATGTGGAAGTTATACATGAGTTGTTTATACCTGGTAGCTGATAGTTTTGGGGTTCTCTGGAGATTAGTGTAGTTGACATAGTGAAGTCCAAATCTTAGCTTATATCCATTTAGCCACTCAAAGTTGTCAAGAAGGGACCAAACAAAGTACCCCCTCACGTCTGCACCTTCCCTGATTGCATTTGCCAGTGAATTTAAGTAGCTATGCAAATAGTTCACTCTATGAATATCGTTCAAGGTGTCCGTTATTGAAGGATTCAGATTATCATTCTCAGAAACGCCTGCAACATAGCCGATTGTGTCAATAGTTGCATCCCAACAAATCAAAATGCATCTCGTTCAAGTTATTAGTTGATAAACTGCATCTCGCTTAGCTTCTAAATGACAGAATGTGAAATTCCTTTTCTTCTTACCATTTTCAGTGATAACCAGTGGAGTATTATTGAATCTGTCCCTCATGTACATCACAATTTTTTTCATCCCTTGTGGGTACAGAAAGATCCATGGAGCACCAGTCTGATTCATTTAAAGTTAGGGGGAAAAATAAAAATTCAGCAATGTGGAAAGTGCTAGCAATGGTTGGATAGAGTGGGTTAAAAGATGAGATAACATACTGGTTGGCCAATGTAGACACCGTCTTTTTCTGTAGTAGCTAAATAGGAACCCTCTGACCAAGTGTTTCCATGTTCACAGGCAGAAAATAAGCAATCTTTGATATATTTAGCCGTATAGTAATTGATGCCAATGAAATCTAGGCCATAACTCAGCTTGCTCAAATCATTCTTTGAAAAGTCTGGCAGATTAGATCCCAGAATTTGTACCATTTCTTTGGGATATCTTCCTAATATAATAGGGTCTAAAAACCTGCATAGTAAAAAAAAAACATTTTTTTCTTCTCTTTCTGATGCACAAGAAACCAGATTGTAGTACTGAACTACTGATGAGGAAAGGTTACCAGTTGACGTAGAATGACCGAGCTCTCTCAGCTGCAGCTATGTCTTCTGAGGAATTGCTAAATGGTTCATACCATTGGGTATCCAAAGAAATTCCAATCATTCCTCCTTGTCTTTTCTGAAAAGCAGCATAAAGTAGACTATATTACTGATACTAATTGTATGGTCTTCTACAAGATACCATTTGATAGATAGAGGGGGAGGAAGCAGTTTCCAAGCATAAATTTTCGAGCTTTAGTCTTCTAAGTATACCATTTTCCTGTTTTACTTCCCCCAAAATTCACCTACAAGCCAGAAAGTAGCGTTGCACTAAAGGGGTAATCCATTTGGACTAATTCTGCAAGATCATGCGTGTTGAGATTTGACATGGCAATGGGGAAAGGACATAGAGCCATCGAACAAACCTGATATCTGGTACGGTAAATGCTGACAGCAGCTGCATGAGATAGGATCATATTGTGAGCTGCAATGAAGGGCTCCCTTTCTGAATCACCAGCACTACAATTCCCAAGTATACCGGAGCATCGACCTGGAGGGTGAGTTCCCTCTCTATAGCCACGAACAGCCATGAGGTTAGGCTCATTGATGGTTGTCCAGTATTTGACTCTGTCCCCAAAATATTTGAAGCATATGTCTGCATAATAGCTGAAATCATCCCTGAAACACGACACAAGTTACAACTTTTTGATGGAATATACATACAACTACCTTAAAGTGTAAGATGGGACCAGCTACTTACTGTATTTGTGAACTAAGCCAACCACCATATCTTTCCTCAAGTTCTTGTGGTATGTCATAATGTGTTAATGTGATAAACGGTTGGATCCCTGAATTCACAGCACATAAAGAAGTCATCTGAGCCCAAAATTTAACTTTTTTGGATTTATCAATATCTTAAAACTATTAGCAAGTGAAGCAGAAGAATTGACCTTTCTGTAAGAGTGCATCAATAAGGTTATTATAGTGCTCAATTCCAGCCATATTAACATCTCCAAATGTCCCCTCTGAGTCAAATTTACAACCGACAAAGAAAAAGATTGTTCAATAGAAATGACAAGAAGAAGTATTTGCTGAAAATGAAGGGAAGAGAGTAGTGACGTACTGGGCAGAATTCTTGCCCATGAGATGGAGAAACGATAGCTATTCACACCCATGTCTTCCATGAGCTTGATATCCTCCTGTTTTCATTTTATTACCAAACATCAGAAATTCAGAATTCATCATTTTCATGCTTTACGAGTGAGTCTATTTTCTTGCTAATATGTTGATCTAACATTCATTCATAAACTCTTCTGAGACGCGTATGATCAACTTGTTGCAGAAACCAAATTTGTCTTGCCATTTTGCATGCATGCTCCCTTCATTCCGATTAGCAACAAAAGCATATCATGTGCTTATCTGCTTCCTTATTATGATGTTGATCAGCTTTGATACAGAATGTGAGTTTTACATCTTAATTGTAGAGCAAGACTAACTGTTTCCCTTTAGGGTGTTCCCTTTGATTCGCGAATGATTGTTCAAAAGTACTTTTTATCTAATTTATCAGTTTATTGTTGATTTTGAGTAGGCCAAATCCAATTTAGCAAAAACCATCTAATTAATCTCAATGTGATTCCATCTCAACAGGATAAAAACATACAAGAATGTGTTACCCTTCTGAAATGGCCTTAAAATGATAAGAAGCCAGACAGCATTGGATATCATAAATGTACAAAATGTTAGCATGTCAAAGAGAGCAAATGTCAAATACATCTAATTCTTTCAAAAACCCAAATATAGTAATTAGCAAGTAACAATATAAATGACAACATTATTAAGTCCTTATCTAAGGTATTAAGAGAATTGCTAGTGGTGCTAATAAAAATATATATTATAATTAATAGAGAATAGTGTGCAAAACACATCTAAATTATCTCTTCTTTTTTTTAGTTTCATAGTTGAACTATTGACTGTGTGAGTTTCATACATAGACTATCACTTATCAGTTTGAGGATGACACATCTCTCTTTTATTACATTCTCTCCGTGGTGTGTGTACTACACTTTCTTTTATTAAAAAAGTCTTGTAGCAAGTAAAAAATACTTTCTTAAAACCATATGTATATATATCTAACATAAAATGAGAAAAAAACTTCATGTGTGTACCACACACACTCTTTTATTTTTAAAAAAGTTTTGTGGCAAGTAAAACATACTTTCCTAAAAACATGTGTATATATCTAACACAAAATGAGATAAAAACTTCATGGTGTATGTACTACACACTCTTTTATTTTTAATTTTTTTTTGTGGCAAGTAAAACATACTTTCCTAAAACTATATGTATATATCTAACACAAAATGAGAATTTTTTTTGAAAGCAGATAGTTAGGTGGGGTGGGGTAGATTTTTCTTTTTTTAAAAAAAAAAAAACAAAGGGGAGAAGGGTGAAGTAAGATGTTTTTAAAAAACTTTTATAAAAGAACTTTTTTTTAAAAAGCACTAAGAAATTGTGGGGTAGGGTACAGTGAGAGGAAGTGGTAGAGTGGGGTGAGAAAAATATTTTACAGTGTTTTTATAATTTTTTCTTTGAATAGTAATATTTTAATCTTTAAATTTAACTAATAGTAATAATTTATTTAATTTTTTGGTCAAAGTGAGATATTTTGTCCATGTGGAGTATGATATGATAATATTTTTTAATAAAAGAGAGAGTGTAATACACACATTATGAAAAAAGTGTAATAAAAGAGAGAAGTGTGTTTCTCAAATTAATATGAAACTAAAAAAAATAAATGATTAAGGGGTAGTTTCAATAATTACAACAAGTATGTCCTACTCCTACATATTATTGAGCAAACAATTATTAGCCTACTCTGTCGCGAATTAAATATCCACGTGTTCTTTTTCTTACCTCTATTGGATTTGTTCAAAAATAAAGAAAAAAAGAGTTAATGAACAATATATATAATTGGACTGGAAACCTAAATAAGCCACAAAAACATAAAAGTGACCAAAATAAGCCACTATTTTAGGAAGTAACTAAAATAGGCTTAGTGGAAGAAAAAATTCCACTTTATCTAATATTCTAAACGTTTTCCGTTAGTCTCATAACGTGTATATTTTAATATATAACGGAATTATTTTCTACACTTTATAAAATGGAACTATTTTTTACACTTTATAAAGTGGAACTTTTTCTTACACTTTATAAAGTGGAAGAAAATCTTACACTTTACAAAGTGGAAGAGAAAATTCCACTTTACAAAGAGAAATATTTTCACGTTTTTATCTCTTTTGCAGTGTTTGTCATACAATTATATTGATTTGACATATCATAAAAACGGAAAAAATTATTACACTATGTATTTTTATTTTTTTATTCTGAAAAATCCTCCAATCTCTATTTAAGGAGGACGTTCAAACATTAACTGGTAGCACCTACAACATACTTTCTATATTTGTTCATTTCAATCTCAAAAAAAAAATGTCTTCTAAACCAAAAGTTAGAGTTTTGATTTATTGGGATGGCGAAATTATACATGATGGAAATACCGTTTATTATAATTGTCCTCCCAAACACAATGCTAAATATTCAATTAATGTCCGATATCATAAATTTCTTTCATCAATTTATAAAAGAATGGGTATAAACAGTACTGTTTATAATTTGATTATAGTCGTAAAATACCCTACTTCTTCCACTTTATAAAGTGTAAGAAAAAGATCCATTTTACAAAGTGTAAGAAAAACTTACACTTTATAAAGTGTAAGAAATAGTTCCATTTTATAAAGTGTAGAAAATAATTCCGTTATATATTAAAATATACACGTTATGAGACTAACGGAAAACGTTTAGAATATTAGATAAAGTGAAATTTTTTCTTCCACTAAACCTATTTTAGTTACTTTCTAAAGTAATGACTTATTTTGGTCACTTTTATGTTTTTGTGGCTTATTTAGGTTCTCAGTCCTATATAATTCCATGTTTCCAATAAACAACAATGTTTGCAGAAATAACTACAGAAAAAGGGAAAGCTCAAATGATAAATTAGATTTACCAAATAACGATTGTAGTGATCAACTGCAACATCACCATTGCTTCCATCCTTAATATGACCTGCAACAACAATAACCAAAATTAATACTATTTTTTTTAAAAAATGGACTAAAATTCTTGCAAATTTTCTTACAAAAATTGATATTCATTAATTAAAAAATCATAAAATTGAACAAATAGAGACATACGTCCTACGCAATATCCTACCTGACAATTTGTGTCCTATATGGTGATTTAAGTGTATTATGTGTGTCTAACTTGTTCAATTTGCACATACCCAAAAATTGGAGAGCATAAATATAAAATAAGATCAAGTTAAATGACATATTTATATATTATGCCGTTAAAAAAGCTCACCAGCTTCGTGAGTAAAAACGTCCCAATTGTTGAGACCTTTTCCATCACTTACAATAGCTCCTTCATACTGCCGACAAAAAAAAGTTGTACTCAGAACAAGAATTCAGACCCAAAAAAGAGAAAAAGTGTAGGAAGTACCTGGTAAGAAGAAGAGGCTGTCCCAAACAAGAAATTGCTTGAAGATGTAACTTGGTTAGGAAGAATATTAAGGCTGTGTGTTTGATGACATGATGATACTATGAAACCACAAAACAACATGCAAGTTGCTATGTAATAAAACGTTGCAGGAAGCATAGTACTGCTTTGATTTTTTATGTGAATGAGGAAAAATAGAGAGAAGTGATGCTAGATACTCTCTCTTACAAGCTCCTGGGAAAAAGACAGAGAATAGCAACCTCTTCACGTTTTTTATTACTTAGTAATTAGAAAGAAAAAAAAGATGTGTCACAGTCTATTTTCCTATTGTGTACCCCCTTGTTTGGACGGTTGTTAGTATTATATTAACGGAAAAGGGCCTAAAATATCTTTGAATTATTAAAATTGGTATAAAAATACTCTCCGTTGACTCCATAATACCCTTTACATCAATCTTTAACAAATGTAATTAGAGTTCTCATTTAATCATGTGATTCGTTAGAAATTTAATTAACCTAAATAAAATAAATCTCAACCCATACCCGGATCCTCCTATAAATCCCTACCCGCTCCATCTTGAAGCCCCATTTTCCCTTATGTTTTTGTCGGTAGAAGAAATGTTGGCGGAGCTTTCTATCGTGTATATATGGTGAGGAATCGAGAACTAATCCTGAGCTAAGATACTTTACAAATGTTGATTTTTGGTGGAATGGATGTTAAGAAAGAGGTTTCTCAAGAAAATTAAGTACACAATAATGAAAAGTTTTTGAAAAAATTAAAACATATTCTGCAAGTTCTCTGCAAAGGGGAATCAATTTTCTCCTTAAATATCTAAAAAGCCATCAGATCAAGGAGCATGCCTTTTAATAAAATGTCTTCTACGGAAAAAAATTGAGAATTAGGAAAACATAATGTAGCTATGTCCATGAAGAATTCTCCATTACAGAAGGAAAGAGAAAATGAACCTGGTATTTGAGTTTTGCCTCTTTAGATATGGGTTTTCTAGTTGGGGCGGGTAGGGATTAATAAATGGATCCAAATTTGGGTTAACATTTAATTTGTTTAGGTTAATCAAATTTCTAACGAATCACAGGTGCCACTTATTAAATGAAAACTCTAATTATATTTGCTAACGCAGTCATCTGTAATAAAGGGCATTATAGGGACGTAAAGATTGATGCCAAGGGTATTATAGAGCCAAAAGGTCAACGAAGGTATTTTTGTACCAATTCCAATAGTTTAAGGGTATTTTAGGCCCTTCTCCGTTATATTAATGGTTACTTTAAATATTACTCCCTCCGTTTTAGTTTTTAAAAGAGTGAAATAATTTGACTTGATACAGAATTTAGAAAACAAAGAAGACTTTTGAATCTTGTGGTCCTAAATCAAAGTTATGTCAAATGTACTAAATTGCCCTTTAATCTTCTGGCCTTAAACATGTCACGTGGAAAGCTGAAATTAAAATGTTACAAAAAAAGGAAAGAGACAATTCTTTTTGAAACCGACTAAAAAAAAAGGAGGTCATTCTTTTTGAAAAAGATTTAGTACTATATTTATTTTGATTGTTACTTAAATTTTATCGTACCGTATTGCATTATTTTAAATTATTGTTAGGTAATGACCAAAAATATCATTTTGTGTAACGATTAATTTGGTGTGATTGCGTTATTACCTTCATATTTACTTGTCATTTTAATTTGTCTTTACTTTTATTAAATTATTTTATTTTATTCTTGACTACCTTTTTTGATAAGGATGCCAATTGGAGATGAAACCAATTGAAATCAAATGCGGAATTAAACAACACAAAAGTAAGATAGCTTAGAAATAAGAGATGAGAAGAGCAGAAAAAAAGGATAATTGAATAAACAATCAACCAAGGAAGAAGAGAAACTTGAATTCGAAAACAAACAACTCAAATTCAATGATGACTTTATGTCTTTTCTCTTGTTATAATTTAATCATACAAATTATTGATGTGTAACATTATATAACAACAAAAAACAATACAATATATCCAAATAATATAATACATAACCATCCGAGCATAGTGTAAAGGTGTAAGCAAAAATATATTTTTTTCTTCAATTACTCAGGTAGAAATTGGGGAGCTACTCCCTCCTATCCATTTTACTTGTCCTGGTTGAGAAAAAATAATTGATCTAAAATATTTTTTTCATATTATTTTAATTATCGTTAATCACTTTTGTTTAAGAAATTATCATTATTAAAATTCAAGACTAAATTGTACTCTTAGCATTAAGGAAATAGCTTATTTTTTTTAAAGAAAAAAAAAAGTTCAATTTCGAAAATGATACTCCCTTGTTTCAATTCTAAATTTTGTTGGTGTATGATTTATCAAGCTTTGTGTTGTTGGAAGCCTTTTGCTTTGAATATTATAACCCTAGTGACTAAATATCAAATGGACACAAAAAATATTACTAGGTTAATGGTCCATGCATGTATATCAGTTTATTATTTTCTGCTTTGTTATCTCTTAGTCATCAATAAATCAGGATAATAAGATTGTTATACTCAACTTTCAATAGAGTATTTCTGCATAATTAATATAGATCTTGTTTACATGATTACAGTTCCATAGAAGTGAATACAAGGTAAGGCTTGAGCTTAACTCTTGCAATATGAAGGCAGGAATCAGGCTGAACACTTATTTGTTCATTACACAATAAACTTTACAAGCCTCCGCTTTTCATCGTCTTCTCCCAGCCACTAGTTCTGGGCAGTATGTGTTTCAAGCTGTATGCTGAAGTTATACATGAGCTGTTTATATCTGGTAGCTGATAATTTTGGGGTTCTCTGGAGATTAGTGTAGTTGACAAAGTGAAGTCCAAATCTTAGCTTATATCCATCTAGCCACTCAAAGTTGTCGAGAAGGGACCAAACAAAGTACCCCCTCACGTCTGCACCTTCCCTGATTGCATTTGCCAGAGAATTTAAGTAGCTATGCATATAGTTCACTCTATGAATATCGTTCAAGGTGTCCGTTATTGAAGGATTCAGATTATCGTTCTCAGCAATGCCTGCAACATTGCCAAGTATGTCAGTAGTTGCATCCCAACAGATCAAAATGCATCTTGTTCAAGTTATTAATTGGAAAAAGCATCTCGCTTCTAAATGACAAGAATGTGCTTCTTACCATTTTCGGTGATAACCATTGGAGTATTGTTGAATTTGTCCTTCATGTACATCACAATTTTTTTCATCCCTTGTGGGTACAGAAAGAGCCATTCCACTCCAGTCTGATTCATTTAAAGTAGTGAAAAATAAATAAATTCAGTAATGCAGAAAGTGCCAGTAATAGTATGGCAGAGTGGGTTAAAAGATGAGGAATGCTAAAGTAATAAAGGGGAGAAAACATACAGGTTGCCCAATGAAGACACCGTCTTTTTCTATAGTAGCAAAATAGGAACCCTCTGACCAAGTATTTCCATGTTCACAGGCAGAATATAAGCAATCTTTGATATAGTTAGCCGTATAGTAATTGATGCCAATGAAATCTAGGCCATAACTCAACTTGCTCAAATCATTCTTTGAAAAGTCTGGCAGATTAGATCCCAGAATTTGTACCATTTCTTTGGGATATCTTCCTAATATAATAGGGTCTAGAAACCTGCATAGTAAAAAAACACCATTCTTTTCCTTACTTTCTGATGCACAAGAAACCAGATTGTAGTACTGAACTACTGATAAGGAAAGGTTACCAGTTGACGTAGAATGACCGAGCTCTCTCAGTTGCAGCTATGTCTTCTGAGGAATTGCTAAATGGTTCATACCATTGGATATCCAAAGCAATTCCAATCATGCCTCCTTGTCTTTTCTGAAAACCAGCACAAAATAGTTACTGATTCTAATTGTATGGTCTTTTAATGAACTTTTACAATATATCATTTAATAGATAGAGGAGGAATTAGTTTCCAAGCATAAATTTTCGAGCTCTAGTCTTCTAAGTGTTGTCTCCTGATTATCAAACCAGAAATAATAAAAGATGAAAAGAAAAAGAAAAGAAACTATCCGAGTCCACAGAACCCACTGTGTATCCTTAAGAAATTTAATCCCCTCAAGTACCCGAGGTTGTAAATTAATTCCTCCCAAGATAAAACGGATTAACCATTAAAGAAGTAGCGGTACCTCCAACTTCAATAATTTCAACGAACTCAAAATGACAGCAACGAATCACACACACAAACACGATCGATCGATTTTGTTTTGTAAGAAATGTATGCAGAAGAAGGGAATAATTCAATGCAGAAAAATGAGAGAAAACCACTCTATTTATAGCTAGCAAATGATAAGGGTCACAACTATTTGAAAAAAATACAACCTTTCAAAAAGGTCACAACCCTTTAGAAAAGACACAACATTTCATAAAGGTCACAACCCTTTGGCAAAGTCACAACCCTTCATTTCATGTTCACACCTTTAAAACCCAACACTAAGTATACCATATTCCTGTTTTACTAGCGTTGCACTTAAGGGGTAATCCATTTTGGACTAATTCTGCAAGATCATGCCTGCTAGAGCATCGATCGAACCTGATATCTGGTACGGTAAATTCTGACAGCAGCTGCATGAGATAGGATCATATTGTGAGCTGCAATGAAGGGCTCTCTTTCTGAATCACCAGCACTACAGTTCCCAAATATACCGGAGCATCGAGCTGGAGGGTAAGTTCCTAGTCTATAGCCAAAAAGAGCCATGACGTTAGGCTCATTGATGGTTGTCCAGTATTTGACTCTGTCCCCAAAATATTTGAAGCATATATCTGCATAATAGCTGAAATCATCCCTGAAACACAAGACAAGTTAACTTGTTCATCGTTACAGCTTTTTGATGGAATCTACAACTACCTTAAAGTGTAAGATGGGACCAGCTGCTTACTGTATTCGTGAACTCAGCCAACCACCATATCTTTCCTCAAGTTCTTGTGGTATGTCATAATGAGTTAATGTGATAAAAGGTTGGATCCCTGAATTCACAGCACATAAAGAAGTTGTCTGAGCCCAAAAATTTACTTTTTTGCTTCATTTTGGATTTATCAATGTCTTAAAACTATTAGGAGGTGAAGCCGAACAGACCTTTTTGTAGGAGTGCATCAATAAGCTTATTATAGTGCTCAATTCCAGCCATGTTAACATCTCCAAATGTCCCCTCTGAGTCAAATTTAAACCCGACAAAGAAAAAGATTGATCTATCGAAAAGACAACAAGAAGTATTTGCTGAAAAATGAAGGGAAGAGACTAGTGACAGTTATAACTTACTGGGCAGAATTCTTGCCCATGAGATGGAGAAACGATAGCTATTCACGCCCATGTCTTCCATGAGCTTGATATCCTCCTGTTTTCATTTTATTACCAAACATCAGAAATTCAGAATTCATCATTTTCATGCTTTACGAGTGAGTCTATTTTCTTGCTAATACACTATATATGTTGGTCTAACATTCATTCATAAACTCTTGTGAGACGCTTATAACTTGTTGCAGAAACCAAATCCGTCTTGCCATTTTGGCAAGTTCCTTATGATATTGATGAGCTTTGACACAAGCTATTAGCAATGTGAGTTTTAGATCTTATTTACAGAGCAAGACTAACTGTTTCTCTTTTATGTCAAACATGTATGCTGTCCTGCAAGCACAAATTAGGGTGTTCCCTTTTCTTCTCGAAAGATGTTGCATGAAAAAAATAATTCTCATCTCCAAAGGTCACACAAATTGTTCAAGCATAACTACTTCCTATCTAGTTTATTAAGCGCAGTTTACTGTTGATTTTGAGTAGGCCAAAACAAATTTAGCAGAAACCATTTAGTAATTATTAATTTCAATGTGCCTAACGGTAGATCTCATCTCAACAGGATAATATATATCTATGGATCCGGGTTGACCCAATCCAATTTCCTTCATATATTATAATTACAGTAATATTTATCTAAGGAATACCCATTTATCAGACAAGTAACTATGTCCTACTCCTAAAAATTATTTACCTACTCTTTCTCCAATTAATAAAATATCCCAAATCCCACTTGTTCTGGATTAGTTCAAAAATAAAGAGTTGTGAACAATATATATAATTCCCATGTTTCCAATAAACAACAATGCTTGCATAAAAAAGGAAAGCTCAAATGATAAATTAGATTTACCAAATAACGATTGTAGTGATCAACAGCAACATCTCCATTGCTTCCATCTTTAATATGACCTGCAACAACACTAACCAAAATTAATAATAAAAAAAATTGACTAAAAGAAATTGACATTCATTAATTTTATAAGCTGACCAGCTTCATGAGTAAAAACGTCCCAATTGTTGAGACCTTTTCCATCACTGAGAATAGCTCCTTCATACTGCCGACAAAAAAAGTTGTACTCAGAACAACAATTCACCCCCCACCCCCCCAAAAAAAAAAAAAAACAAGTGTGGAAGTACCTGGTAAGAAGAAGAGGCTGTTCCAAACAAGAAATTGCTTGAAGATGTAACTTGGTTAGCAAGAATATTAAGGTTGTGCGTTTGATGACATGATGATACTATGAAACCATAAAACAACATGCAAATTGCTATGTTATAAAACATTGCAGGAATCATATAGCTTTGATTTGTTAAGTGAAAGAGGAAAGACAGAGACAAGTGCTACTTGATATTTCTCTTTCAAGCACCTGGGAAGAATAGTAACCTCTTTACTTTTTTTTAAATTAATCAATAGAAAAAAAAGATGTACTTTCTTTTCTTCCATTTTATGTGAGGTAGTTTGACTCGTCACACGAAATTTAAAAAAGAATTGAAGTCTTTTAAGACTTTATGGTTCAAAATGAATGATAGAAATTTGTATGACCATAAATCATTTCATTAAAAATAAAATAAACATTTTATAGTTAAAGTATTACTTAATATAGAAATGTGTCATTCTTTTTTAAAAAAACTAAAAAGGAAAGTAAGTCACATAAATTGAGATAGAGGGAGTACCATATATGTGTCAGTGTCACTTGTCAACATCTTGTTTGGACGGTTGTTATCGAATTGTATATTTATTTTGATCGTTATTTAAATTTTATTATATTGCATCGTATAGTACTGTTTTAATTATTGCTAAGTAATGATAAAAAAAAGTACTATTTTGTGAAACGACCAATTTGGTCAGATTGGATCATTATCTTAATAATTACTTCTCATTTTAATTTGTCTTTACTTATTATTTTATTTTATTTTTTACAATACCTTTCATAGTAACAATTTGTATGATGAAAAATGATATAATGTATCCAAACATTATATTTATTAAAATAATACAATATAATCATATCATCATATCATATTATTATTATAAGTGGGAAGAGTTTAAGTCAAAAGTTGAATTACGAAAATACCCCTACACTAATTTTTTTCCATTAAAAAAGTATCTTTTACTAACTTTTAAAATCAAATCAATAATTACATTTTCTCTAGATACTTTTGTTTATTTGCATTAATAAAAAATTTCAATTAAAAGTAAAAACACCTTTAAGGCATTTTCTTTCAGAGATCACAATAAATATTGACTCTTCATTATTTTTCTTCAACTCTCATGCTTTTGCTCTTCTAACTTCCAAACTTTTGGCCTCCCAATTCAATATATCACTACATATATTTGTAACTTTTTAAATCATTTCACTTTGTAGTAGATTTTAATTTTAAAGCTGCTGATTTTTTTTTCTATTAGACTATATCATGTATTGTTTCATTTGTAATAAAGAAATTTTGTTTGCTTTATTGATTCTTGTAATTTTTCATAATAATTTCTTCTTCTTCCATTGATTATCAGGCTTTTAATAAAGATTATTTTCTCAGTTATTTATGTTTTTCATTTGTTATTGATAAAGTATGTCTGCTTCATCACGTATGGAATTGATTTAATTTGCGTTTCAGTTGCATTGATATTCTTTATTACATAAAGAATAATTTTATTTTCTAGTTTTGTTTGATTAGATACAAATAATCTTAATTATTATTCTGAAGAAAAATAATGTTACACCTTGTGCACCAATAAAGCCATACATAGAAGTAAATAAATACAATATATTTTTGTTTGTATCATTATAACTTCTTCTTTTTTTTGGCATAATTATTGTAAATTTTTATTTTATTTTTGTACCATTTGTTAGTAAGGAATAGATGTCTCAGTTCTACGCAAAATATTTGGCAGATTTAGATGGTAAAATTTAAATTTTGATACAATTTATATTGTTAAATTGAAATTTGTAAGTTAATTATATACGTCAAAGAATTAAAATCAAACTCTTTTTTTCATTTCTTCCATTTCCGAAAGTTGATTTGAATGATGAATTGAGATATGATTATTTCTTATGCAAAATTAGTTAAACATTAAATAACTTTTTTAGTATCGAATACGTCCGTAACTTGACATGGGTGAAATTCAAGTATACAATCCAAAAATATATATTTTTCTTTTCTTTTTGATCATTTTTTGTTATGTCAACACACTGTGTTAATTTATTTTTATTTATTTATTCAATATAATAATAATGAAAAAAGTATATATCAACTATAATAAGTGAATGTATACTTTATTTGTAGCTTCTATTTTATAAAAATGAAATTTGTGATTTAATATTATGTCAAATAATTAAAATTAATATATTTAATCTTCATTGCGGTTTTTTATTTTCAAAAATTAATTAGAATAGGAAACCATTTTCATAAGTTTAATTGTAATATAAAAAGAAGATTATTTTGATTATTGATTCTTGTGTGCTATATAGTACTTAATGTTTGTTATCTACAATTTCACTTTTATAATATTTTTATATTTGTTGAATATAAAATTTTCACATTTAGATATGTTTTGCATTAATTTATTTATTATTTAAGTTTTTTTTCCCAATAGTATGATGACATGTTTATCTTATTGCTTTTCACGTTAATTGGGTTGATATTACAAATATTTTTTTATGTTAAAAATGGAAGGTTTTAAATTCAAAGTTGGATTACGAAAATGCCTTTCTCTATATTTTTTTAATTAAAAATTTACTTTTTTCTAACTTTTATAATCAAATCAATAATGATAATTAATATATTATTTATTAGAAAGTTTATGTTAAAATGTTGAA